CTCTACCCCCCCCCCCCCCCCCCCCCCCCCCCGCCTCCCCCAGCTCCTCTTCCTCCATTTTCTCAGCTCACGTTCTCTTGCGCCTTCTTCAGCGACATCTTGTACGCTATCTGCTCCTCTAGGCCAGACTTGAGCAGCTGGGGAGCAGCTCAGCTGGCAAGACGAGACGAAGCGGCCTGACCTTCTGCTTTTCTCTCCGAACCTTGACGATAACTTCCTTGTCTTTCTCGTTGGCCCCGATCTGCACAACCTCGACGAAGAGTACAGAAGAGGGGTAGGGGAAGGTGGAGGGGGCAAGGAGGTTGACAGGGAGGGAGAAGAGAAGGTGGCAGGAGAGGAAGAGGATAGGGGGGAAGGGGAGGGAGCGATAGAAACGAGATGTCAGCTAATCATCATCCCTTCTGGGAGCGCGTCACCTTGCAGAAGAAGGGAGTCGCCGTGGGGATTTTGAGGCGAGCCTGCTTCTCCTTCTTTCTGCCGCTGACTGTGAGGCCTGAGAGGAGGAGGAGGAGCGAAAACCTCTCAAGGCGTCGCTGCTCCATGATATCCAGCAGCTCTTTCGTCAGCTCTCGTTTTACCTTCACCCGATCCTCTTCCCTGTGCTTGAACTTCTCCTTACGCACCCACCTGAACTCCTTCCTCGACCACACGAACTGGTTGTCTTGTTGGAAGTAAGTTCACCAGCAGTTTGACTCTCAAAGCTCACGGTCGATAAACTCGTCGCTGCTCTTGGTCGCTGACATGTCGAGGTACTGACCCCCCCGTCCCTTCAAGTCTGCTTACGAGATCAGCAGGAGCTCAAGAGTACGTAAAAAACCTCTGGTAGAGCCCGGGCTGACTCCTAGCTGGGCGTCTACTGGACCAGTCCGCCGCTTCTCGTCAGCTTCAGCTGGGTCGTTAAGCCCGAGAGAGTCAAGGCGATCTTTGACAACTTTCTTTTCTTCCAGCCCCACCGTCGCCCTGCCATCGTATCTCTTCAGCTCCGGGGCGAAGCAAGATAACGGACCTGTTCGCCAAGATGCTCATTTCCATCATCTTCCCGTCTGCCGCTGGATCGCCTAGTGAACACACGCTTTGAGAGGAGAACGGCAGTCTGCGACCAACCTGTTGCAGGCAATCTTGAGGGTGAGCTGGTCTCAGCTTCTGCCTTGCGGTGAGTGCGAACCCATACGATGCATGTCATTCACCTTTGCTTTGAGCAGTCGGAGAAGCGAAGTTTTCTACCAACCAAAAGTCAGCCATCGCTTTCATCCTGTTTGCAGCGATGTCCCCATGACCTTTAGCTACGAGCGATGGTTGCCTGCTGAGATTTTCCTTCTCGTGTTCGTGCAGCTAGTTGGGTAAGACTCATGAAAGGAGATGCAAGACTCATCGAGGCTCAACCTTGTGCGAGACATGTGGAGGAGGTCGGAACTTGTTGTACTTGGACAAGAAGTCGAAGGACAATTTTCTTCCTTCTGGGCCCGACTTGCAAATCAAATATCCAACCCCACAGTGCACTTTCAAATCCTCTCCGAGCTGCAACCAGAGTCTGAGCCCGAGCAGCTTTTCGATCCCGTCAAGAGTGAAATTCACCTGCACAGCTCGTTCCAGGCCGTAGAAGAGCTCCCTCAAACAAGAGTACACCACGTCTTTGGTCAACGTGCTCGTGTACCGTATTGCTATCTTGTGGAAGTTGATGTCTTCGCACCTCTCCAACATCGAGTCTTCCTCTGCATGATTCTGAGACTCTCTCGCAGGTCGTGCCATGCAAGTTCGTTCAAAGCTTGGAGAACTTCGAAAAACAGGGCGGAGGATGACGTCACTGTTGCCGCTCTCTGACAAGCTTGAGTCAACCGATTGATACAAGTGGAGGACCAACCTGGAGCCCAAGAAAGTCGCATCAGCTGCTGGATGTTTATCCCCCGGCCTGTGTAAGAGTCAGGCATACAATAGCGTACAAGAACGCTCACTGCCCACCTTGTTCCATCGTCTCGATTATCCAGTTGCAAAGAGCAGTCCAGACAGCCTTGTACAAGCGAACATCGGTCTCTCCTATGCTGGGCAGGCTGGACTTGATCTGCAGTAACAGGTAATCTGAGAGGCAGCATGGAGGATGAGAAGTAGAGACCTTCCGTCGTGGGTTACGTGCGCACTCCATTGCAAGCGATGACTGCCAAGACAGGATGAGGATACTGCTAATACACGTCGCAGAAACATAACCTCAGTGAAAGTCATGTTGCAGATGGAATAAGTCTCTGAGAAAAAAAATTCAACTGCAAGAGAACAAGAAATGTCTAAGATTCAAGCATATCTTGTGCCTAGATCTTATCAGCGAACTTTGCTTTGCTTTTATTGACCCTCTTCTTCCTCGCAATTTCAACATCTTTTGTGACTTGTGACTGACCGTGTCGTTATTCTCGTTTTATCAGGTTTCAATCCAATCTGTCACACCCTACCGTCGCGATTGTCAGGAAATATCAAGAAATATGCTGCGTCGGTTCGATTCTCAACTCTCCTCTTGTTGTCCTTACAACATGACTAGCCATCTTCATCTCTTCACACCTTCCCCCCTCCTCCTCTTGCCGTCAATTGTCAGAGTCGCTCAACTGCCTGCCAAAAAAAGTTTGACTCACGGTTGAAGTCCACCCTACCCCCCAGCTAGATGACCGTACTCTATCCCGGTAAACCAGGGGGTCCGATCTGCCCCAGCGGCCGCCCGGTGTAGTGGGGGTCTGGAGACTCAAAGGAACCTGACCGCCGGGCCCGGGCCCGGGCCCGGGCTGGGCGAAAAATAACGGAGGGTTGGGGGGTGGAAATAAAGAGGGGGGTATAGGTGGGGTGATGAGGGGGTACTCAACATTTGTAAGGGTGGGGGAGCCAAACATCCATTGGGTAGGATGAAATGGCTCTTGACAAGGCGAGAGTTAGAGGATGAAGAGAAAGGAGAAGAGAATGGGGAAGGGTGAAGAGAAGAAAGAGGTAGAGGGGGAGAGAGAGGGAGAGAGGAAGAGAGAGGTAGATGTGATCGCTGGAAGGTGGCCATGTTCCTCGCACGACCTCGCGCTCGGGTCCCGCTATCACATCGCACTTGCTTCAAGCTCTCGAAGATGACCCTTGTACTTTCCCTCATACCTGTCC